GAATAAAGGGTTATTTGTGACTATTCGCTCTCTTGAAAAGAATATTAACCAACTTATATCTTCTTCTCATTCTTTATTGTGCATTCACACGCTGTCGTACTACATTTCTCTGAAGCCGAACAAAAACCGGTTTCATATTAAAGCTAGACACTAGAATCTGTGTTAATGCGAGAAAGGTGCAAACATTCGAATCTTTCGAAATAATACCAGTTACCTCTGGATTATAATCAAGCAGCTTCGCTCAAACTAATAACGAGCTAAATCTCATTTTTCCTACTTTTACAGAGAGTTTGTCAGGGAAAAATGTATGCCCTTTTGGCCAGCTAATGCACAACAAAACAGGATTATAGAACAATATGTAAACTTACATATAACAAGCATTGATGCAGTATATTTTATTGTTCTATCCTTGAAATTCAAGAAAATTCCTATACAGAAAAGTTGTATTAAACTCAGGTCCTCATACCTTTTTTTTAATTTCAGTCACAAACATACTTTTTGGTCGACGATTTGGTGCCCGGAGAGATATATCAGATTGAGGTAAGCGATCTATTTTCAGGTATTCAAGTTAGAATTTGGGAAAAATCTAAAGAGAGCACAAATGGTCATCAAGGATTGCTACCTTGGCTCGCCTGATTTTGTATGAAGAGTAACTGGGTTAATTGACGCCTTTGCAAGAATGAATTCCAGCTTTGACGATTTCTCTCATGTGAGGGGCAAAAGCTCAGCTACTTTTCACCCAAAGCGAGGAAGGATGTCTTGAGGATTGCGCCAATCTGAAAGTCGTGTTGAAGCCAAACGGATGTCGACCCACGATATATCTACGAATGGCAGAGCATATTTAAAGTCTCAAATGCAGTTCAATGGCTGTCATCTTCAAGCTGTTACTTATACAAAATCTTTTAAGTAGGGCCTTTAAGCAGAGAAAATATTATCCTTGTCATCAGCTGGCTGATATTGGAGTTACTGATGCTGGAGAATTAGATCTAAGTAGTAACGACTTGATATAGACGATGAAGGCTAGTATTAGACAAGTTTATTTAGTCCATGCCACAACATAATCACAATATATATTAAAGTATACAGTAACACATATTTATATTTGCATATACGCAACTTCTATGTATATAAATAGTTATAAAAGTTGCTAAGGCATTTTAACACATAGATGGAAGTAGATAGGTAAAGGATACAGATCGTTGTAAAATAATCATTATATTTCATTTAATATAGCCTTGTGGTAACCCATCTTGATTATAATTAGTTTTTAATAATTGGGTAGCATATAAAAGGGATGCGATCAGAAAGGATTAAGTTGAAAAGTTTACTAACATATTAAGCATTTGTGAGCTTTAACTTTGGTATCAAGATAAACGGAGAAGACACGTAGAGATTCTGTATATGCGCACTAAGAATAAATACGATAATAAACTCGAAGCATCACGACGCTTGCAGTCACTGAAATGAGACATTAATTATTATGCTGCTGAATTTGTAAAATCACGAGTTGCTAGGTAAGGGAACAAGTAAACTGTCCGAAATATTTCGTTTTTGTTGTCTCATATAAGAAAATATATCAGATTAAATCGCTTTAACCGATGAAAGTCTTGGTAGTTGATTATTCTACACTCCAGGATGGATTGCGATTTCCAGCCCGACTGGAACTAATCAGCACTCCCAATAGAATTCTAAATTGTGATTGTTGTGCTAAAAAGTGACTATTATGAAGAAAGGACTTTTTTAGAGTCATCATTGTCGTCTTGCCTTCGCCATTAAACTTAGTGATGCTACTATTAGCATCATGAGTAGTGTTTTTAATTATCAGGGAAATCTTTCAAAGGGGTTAATGCAATCTTAGGTCACATTGAGCGACTAAAGGTATATTGAATGAATTAATCGTGAGTTAATTCGAGTTGAAACAACTTTTAGGAGAGCAAAGCTGTGTGAAATTAATTGGAAACGTCAGTTCTATTCATATACTTGTGGAAAAATTCTACTACCAGTCCTTTATCACCTTAAACGAAATAGGGTGAATATATCTTATATTACTGATTTACTGATAGTCTCGAAACTCTACTTACATACGTAAAATAGCTAAATTACACCACTAAGATAACTTTTATTTTGTGCTTCGGACCAGGCCTTGAACCCCAAAAATGCAGTTAGCATAAAAAAGGGTAAAACTAATTTTACGGTGCCGTTTTAGGAATAAAAATAAAACTTTTAATCTTGCCTAAAACGTAATAAGGAAATCTATGGATGGTATCTTGTTAATTGGGTATACATTATGGCACAGATTATAGTCAGCACCAATCCATAAGAACGGAAAGTTGGTATTTCGAGAACTCTTTCGACCAATGTGAAACTTTCAATGAGGGAACGCCTCATATTTAGGTACCATCCCGGACAGAATCACCCCTCCGGATTCTTCGTCCAGAACGAAAGCAAGCATAATACAAATTGTCTGCTAGTGTGATTGTTGTGTTTGCCGTCGTTTTTATTCAGAACTAGCTGAAGAAAAGGCTTAAGAGGGCATTTCAACAGAGCACGGTTGATTTCGTCTGCTCTTTTCCTGAGTGCAACGAAGCTCTATTAGGCCTTTTAAGCCCCATTGAAGCCGTCTTCATTTCACGATCAGTTTAACTTGTCGCCAAGCTGCCAAGTAGAGCCGCTACTACAAAAAGTGTATACACACCGACACAAGAGCAATCGTCCTTGTAACCCGGGGGTAAGTCCTCCCCTAATCATTTGCTTGGGAAAATTTGTAAGAAATCAAGGCAAAAGTTAACAGCAAATTGGGGTTCCGTTTAATTTTCCACATCCTACCAGGTCAGGCCTGATCCAAAGCTAAAAACGCCATATAAGGAATAGGCCAAATAATTAGTTAATTTAAACAAAGAAAGACACATTTTTTTATGACCCTGCTCTTTAAAACTTAGCCTTTTTGTAGATTTGATAAATCTTAAAATAACTCAGTTCCCGAATATTATACTAAAGAATCTATAAGTAGTGTAGCGTAGAAAATTTAATGAATTTCAATAATATCTGAAATACATGATTGAACCACTTTTGGTTTAGCAGTACAGTTCAAAGGAAACATCATACCAAATACGTAACGACAAGATCTATGCCATTCGATCGCTTCTTTAATTTATGCCAAGGGTTCCGCTTTTGTGTCCAACCGACCTTTGCCGAATAATACGACAGGACTCTGCAACTGAGAAGCGGCCACCTTAACGCATTATGGTAAAGCAACCTGATCTGAATACTGGGTCGAGTTATTCTCATGACTTAAAAACTTTTTATAGCTTCCTCGAGAACTGTCTTCATTCTCCAACTTCCTTACCTGGTCGCCTATCCTTTTGGAGAGAGCTCTCAAAAGGAAAGTCACAGCATTGTAAAAAGTCTCCGCTTTTTCACCTTTTCCTAAATATTTTTCATTAGAAATAAGCATTCTTTATTGACCTGATGTTCTTTCGATCAAGCATAGGGAATAATTACTCATGAGTAATACTGTTCGGTTCACATAAACAGTGTTTTCTATTGGCTAATCTCACACTTCGTATAATCATTGACAGTGAAATGCCGAGCTTAGTCTTGTAACTTGACTGGAGAAAAGAAGCTAGCATGTGTTGGTTTCCTATGTAAAGCTAAAAGTCTAAAGGTTTGGGTATAATTCTGATCCCTTGCAGGAGGCTTTCCTCTAATCTTTCTGATCTAATTAGGTAGAAATGATCTGATTGTAATTTCTTGCTTCTCTCTGGCACTGGCAGGTAATTGCGATGTCTCACTGGGGCGATCAGCATCTCCGATCCCAGCCAAAGGTTCACTACTTGCGCACCCCCGAGCTCCGACAATTGCAACACTTTCGGCTGCAGACATTTCGTCGTCAACAGGAGGCTGGAGGTGAGCAGACGTTTGGCTCTCTGACGCCGCAACTCCGGCCCTTCTTCTCTTCGAGTCGGCCGGAGACTGAACCTTCACTTGGGCCCGCTTTGCTCGACGCCTCGTCAGACAGGGCGGAAACTGCTGCTGCCCTGGCAACAAAACCAGAACACCCAGAGTCGAGGCTTTGGCAACAGACAGCCGCAGTAGCCATGACGACCGGCGGTAAAGGGATCCAAAGCGGCCTTTCAGAAGACTGGCAAGACGAGAAAGCGATGCAGCCACCTGACCTAAATGGTACCTTCCTGTCCGGCCCTGGCTGGATAAGTGTGTGCTCGTTATACCATTTTATCCAACTTATTTGTAGGCAATCATGGCAATCAAGAGATCTTTCTCGATTTTCATGTGTCTCCTTTTTTATTATTCCTTTATTATTATTTAATTATTTTCATCAAATGCTTAACAATATTATTTGTGGTCTCGGGCACCCTGCTGATCCGGAAACGAATAGTTAGCCTTGTTTTCCAAAAGACATTCCAATTCTTCATTTCACATTTCGCCTCAGAAACCGTATAGTAATAGCCGTGACTACTGCAAAATCTAGTCTAATTGTCAATACAATGGCGAGATTTTAATCGAGTCGTCTGACGTTAAGGAGCTTAGAAAAAAGGGACCAAGATGAGTGCAGACTTAGGCAGAAACAATCATTCTAATGAGACATTCTAACACACAGGTGGATGCTATTGTCTGCTATTACTTAATAATACTATTTCTACTGCTTCTCCTATCAGCACCGCCACTACTACTTTCACTAACTACTACTAGTATTTCCGCTTCTACTTATTAACACTACTACTATTACTACTATTATTATTGTTATTACTACTACTACAAATACTACTGCGGCTACCAACTAATAACTTATACTGCTGTTAGTATTACTGCTACTACTATTAGTGATGCTATTGCTTCTGTTGTTGCCGCTACCGCTATTAATTATAACTACTGCTACTACTGTTATTTATACTTTTATTTATTCAACAATAACAAAAAGAACAATTACTATTATTGCAATTGACTACTGACTACTATTGACTACTATGGGTTGCTATTAACTCCTACTAAATACTACTGCTGAGGCGAGGTCGAAATAGCAGTCCAGCCCAGAAGGAACGAAAAAAACATTTTTGAGAAGCAAAGCTGATATTGAGAGACTTATTCATACGATTGTGGGACAACTTCACTATGAGCCCTTAAATCGGTTATCCTGTATGGAATATGGGTTTTAAAGACACCCTTAGTGAACGCATGAGATAGCTCAGGTAAAATTGCCTTGGAGTTGTACCTGTAGATCCCACGGAGCACCGTCCCACATTCCAAATGACTCCAAGCTAGCAATATAACAGGCCTTATTCGCTTCGGAGTTGCATTCACCAAATTTATGTAAGCATGAC